GTCCTTGATTTTAATCTATTCATAAAGGGCTTTTGAACCGCTCTTAGTCTGACCCGTCACCCAGGACCCGTTTGCCTTGGGAGACCCTACCAGGGACATATAGCCTCCGACAACATAGCTCCTAGGATCACTCGGGTACTCAAACCCCTCCACCACAATAAGGTGGCGGTTCAAGGAGGGGGTGGTAATTACCAATGGTCACAAATGGATTAAGTCATCAACAGATCTGATAAGAAACAGACAACATTCACGTGATGAATCTGGGAACTGCCACCACAACACCATCACCACAATGAAGTCACTTGAAGGATGAAAACACACTGATTAGTGAAACCAGTTCACTATAAGAGTCAGAAACACACTCAAAACATTTATAAGAATCCATCATTACACAGGAAAACTATGTGTGTGACCAACTACGGTCCTGTAAATCAAACTCAAAACAGAAAATCAGAAATCATTTCACTTCCAAATAAGTTTGGTTAACATGGGATTTAGTTTGAAATCATTTTCTTTTCAGGAATATTGATCCCAGATCTTAGGAAATGACTGGGTGAGAACAGTGTTATATTTTATAAATAGGAAATACCACCATTAGTAAAAATAAAACTCAGGCTGGCCAGGAACCCTGCTTTCCACGGCTCAGTAACAGACTGGTTTCCTGGCAGCCTTGCGGATCTTTGGTAATAATCACATTTTGGATTGCATTTCATTATCCACTTGTAGCAAAAATGGTGATGAACTCAATAAAGATGCATTGAAAAGCAAACGCTTTAAGTAATTACATGCAAATGAAAATCTGTCACCATTGTAAAGGCTCTGTAAGTGCTCCGAAAAACAACACAGTAATGTCCTTAAAAAAAGGAAACAAAACAAATCAAAGTGAGGCAGTCTGGACTGAAACAGTTTCCAGCAGCCCCCACTCTCTTTGGTTAATGAAATATCTAATGCATGCCGTTTCCTTTAGTTAGCACCTGCCTGCTTAGAGGCATGATCCCCCTCTCCAAGCTAAATTACTTGGTCTCAATGGAGCAATACAGAGTATGGTGAGCAGCAAAAGAGGAGAAGTCGAGTGTATTTTCAGGAAAAGGATGATGAGACCTACTGGAGAGCTGACAGGCAGATGGTACTCGTTTTTCTTCTTCAGAGCCGACTGTGGTAGATCTGACAGTGACCTGAGCAGACCAGCTACAATGTACAGCCACCTTCCTTAGCTACATTCCGAATCCTTCACTTACTGTTACTGTTACTTACTGTTACTACCAGACACTGTGCTGTGTCTGGTAGTAACAGCTCCAACGTGCGTTATAACCATGCCTTCGCCAACCAAAACACTCTGTCAAGCCATTTTTCTTTTTACAAGTCTTGCTCTTTGTAGGATGAATTATACAGCCATGATATAGACATCTAGAGGTTGAAGGCACCAGGTGAGGTTGTGCAGTTAAAATGAAGAACTGTGAGATGCATTTATGTGTCACAAAAAATGCCAGATGAAGGGCTTTCAGTATAACCAGAGACTGAATCCAGAACTCAGGGTCACATGGAAAAAGTTTAAAGGTGACACAAGACCTTCCATCAGTAAATAACTAGGAGGTTGAAGCAACAGGACTGCTAAAACAAATCAGAGAAAGAACACAGACCATGCAGTCACTCATCTCTAAATAACTCCCACTGCTTTTAAAATGTACTGTAGATGCTGGTAGCATCTTGTGCCCTTAATCTAATTAAAATTAAATAATGACACATTTATTTGACAAGATGTGAAAAAACTCAAAAGTCATAATTACTGTTGTGTAAAACTAATAAACAGAGATTTTACTCATAAAAAATTGCATTAGTTTTTGCTTTGCCTGCAACATGGCCTACTGTTATCCAACTACTATGGATTTACTGTTGTTTTGTGTGTGTAAAATATAGGAGACGCATAAGGACAGTGCTTTTTTGGGCTGATATTCAGAGAAAGCAAAACAATTACACAAAGTGTTTGGAGTTGAATAATCAACAAAGGAAATCCATAAGAAAATGAGCTCTCGTAATCAGCGCCCGCACTGGTTATCATTAGATTGATGAATGCTATTGATGTCTTCCATCACTGACTTAATCAATTTGAAAAAAGAAGGGTCTGCTGAGAGAAACTGCCTTGTGTAGGTGCACAGATGACTGTTTGGTGTTAGGTGGGATGTAGGAGCGCATAAGAAAGTGAAAGTGAGTGTGCCTTCACAAATCTTATTACTGTGGAATAAAGTGTGCATATGCAAATTCTTGTGTCTCTCTCTCTCTCTAAGAACATTTGTTAAAATAAAGAAGGTATCCGGTTCACTTACCAAGCACACCAAGACGGTAGTTCATGGTCACCACAATCACATTGCCGTACGCGGCGAGGACGCTGGCGTCAAACATGTTCCCGGTGCCTTCCATGTAGGAGCCCCCATGAATGAACAGCATCACCGGCTTCTTCCTGCGGTCTCGGATGTCTACACACAAAGACAGAGGAGAAGAAGAGGCAGCAGAAAAGCAAAAAGTCAGTACCTGCATTATGCTGCTCCTATTGTCTTTGATCACACTTTCCTGGGGGGCGGCTCAAATTCTTGTGGTAGAGCGGGTCGTTTCCTAACCGGAGGATTAGCGGTTCGATTCCCAGCTTGTCCAGTCAACATGTCGAGGTGTCCTTGAGCAAGACACTGAACCCTGAGTTGCTCCTGGTGATGTCACCGGTGTGTGAATGCGTGAGTGCTTGGGAGTGCGAATGGGTGAATGGCCGAATAATGTGAAAGCGCTTTGAGTGTGCTGTAAAAGCATAGAAAGGCGCTATACAAGTATAAGACCATTTACCATTTACTTTGTGTTCGACCACAATATACTGAGCAAACAGTAAATGGCTCAGCTGGATGAAAACACAAAGCCACACTGTCCCCTGCAGCTGAATGTCAGCTCTTAAAAATGAGCTTGAGGTAATTCTGATTTCAGGCAATGATTCCATCAACAGGCAATAACAAGAGACACGGCTGCGAGAATCTAATCAGATGTTTCCTGGTGATTAAAGCAATAATGCTTCGAGGAAATCATTGGGTAGTGTTGTGTATTAGAGCTAACCTGTATATCACTGCCACTGACAATCTTTATCTCACACTTTGAGGACCAGATTGTCCAGCGCAGCACACAAACAACAGCATGTGCAAGCGATCCCACCAGTGCAAGGCTGTTTACTAAATTGAAGCATAAAACTGAGAGCTGATACAGGTAATTAGTTAAAACTGAGAAGGTACAAATGTGAGGTGCAAGCATTGTGCACAACAGCTCTTTTGTTGTGAGAGCTTAAAGTGTGGGCGTCAAAGTTCACCCCGAAGAGCTCTCTGCTGCAAAGAATAGGTGTTTTAACACTGTGTAAAAAAAGGCACTCTGGGACAGCGTACTGAGGCAAACGTGTTGAAAGCGACTGGGCACTGCGAGTACAACTTACAGCAGCTAAAAAAGCACAGGTATGACATGAAGCAGACATTTTAAATCCATGTCTGTGGCAAAGCTGATGTCTGAGGACATTCTATGCACAATCAGCAAATAATAAAAGCCCACCAGCTCTTAATATATCATGTCTGTGATGAATTTCCATAATTTCCTTAATTTAGTTTGCACCTTGGAACTCCCATGAATGCAAATTGCAACTCACCCAGAGCTGCAGGGAGAGCTATATCACACAATTTCTAGGTCAGTTCCCTTGTGGGGAATCTCTAGAAAGCACAGCTTTCTTGGAGACTATCATTTTGCACTGGCACAACCTGTAAGTGGAGCCTGCCTCAAGGTAAAAAGTGGAAAGATAACTGAGAACTTTCACATAAAAATATCATTTCTGCCACCAGAAAACATGAAACAGTTTCAACCAATCTCTCTAATTTCTTTAACTCAAAATGGTATCAGATTGCTATTTTTATTAAACGGAGTTTAAAACTTTACAGTTGAGTGATTTCACTTAAACATGATTTAAGAATGATCTTTTAATAGCTGTCATTCCATTAGCTGTATTCATCTGTTCTCAAACATGCTGAAAAAGAAAGTAGCCACTTTGGGAAGTTGTTTCCACTTAAATTGAGCTGAATATCCTAAGAAATACCTTGTAAATATGGATTTTTATGGCAGCTACTTCTGCTTTATTGAAATGATGATAAACTCTGGCATCACTCCTAAATGCATGCAGATTCCTTCTAAATGCAGTCAGTCAGTGTCAGTCATGAAAGGTTTTAACATATGCCTGCTCATGCTGCATTGTGTGTACACGAAGGATGGTCCCTGATGGGCCCTCATTGGCCTTTGAACCAATCTCCCAGCTGACTGAGAGCAACTATACCCCCGCCTGCCAGAAGCCTACACAAGCATATGGCACACTAGGCTTAGAACTGTGGCACAGTGACAGCCACTGTTTTGGCTTCTGTGGGATTGTATGCGAGTGTGTGAGTGTGTGTGTGTGTGTATGCCTGGGGATATGAGAGAGCAGTAGTGCAGAACAACCACATAAATAATCACTACAGCATCTGTTGGAAGAAAAACAGAGGCTGGCTTCCTCTGAAATATTTTATTCATTCATTCATTCATTCACTTCTCACCCCTATGAGGTGGTGTGTGTGTCTTCTACCAGAGGTCCGGGATTTGATGGTTCTGTGCAGTGTTATCAAATGTTTCACACAGAACACATACCCCATATTATATCAGTGACACACTATGGCATTATATACACAGTCATATATATATACACATCCATGACACTAAAACCGGTGCATCAGTCAAGCAGACACACACACACACACACACACACACACACACACACACACACACACTGGGGAGGGAGAAAATTACAGGCAGCTGCAATATAGAGTCACTATGGCAACTGCTTCACTTCAACTTGCTTCCACCTCTCCTTTCCCTCTCTCTCTCTCTCCATGAGCTTTTCACTTTCCATTTTCACATGGACAAAGACTCATTGACTGTTGCCATGGCAACATATTGCTTTTGTGCATCTCTAACCCCATGATGCCCTTCGCCACATCTCTACCTGAATCTCATTTCATTAGGGGTAAATGACCACATACACACTTGCTACACACACACCTCTGCGTCTGGCATTGGGAGATGAAGACTGACAGCCACTGGCATCATGGGAGACAGAATGCAGATGCACCGGCATACCCACCCAAACCCACATAAGACACAAACACACACATCAAGCAGGCTGTCAGAGTTGACCTGTACACTCTGTGTCCATGGATCAGTTACAGGGTGAATCGTTCTGGCACAGTGACAGATAGAACTGAGGCCCTCGGGGGCAACAAGCTCTTCTCTCTCTCTCTCTCCTCCTGTCCTATCTCAGGCTCCTCCTGCCTCTGGCTTGTGTTTGTGTTTGGCCTCTTGTGTTTCTAGCACAACTAAAGCTTAGCATGCAGTGCCCACGCATGTGCGGGTGGTTAGGTTCCCAGCCTCAGTTACACATTTGATCCCCATCTGGGATAAATGCCACAAAACTCACAAAAACATTAACGCTCCTAGGGATTCATTTATGTCTTAAAACATGCAAATGTTATGCAGCAAGGTGCAGCTCATCAGCTCTACTAGGAGAACCTGTGGTGTATGTAACATATTTGTATCAAATATTTTTCATGACTTACTTTCTTCACAACATGTCTACGGGCAAACAAAACAGGTGTTGCATGACAACATAATGTTCCATGTACCACACATTTTAACAATGGAAGCAGTTTGGAAATCAAGATCAAGACCAAAGAATTTTATTGTCAATTCACTATATGTGCAGGACATACAGAAAATCAAAATGCTGTTTCTCTCTCACCTAGTATTGAATTCCATACCATTTAGGAAACTAAAATAGAATAAAAGGGCAATAATAGAGTAAAAATAGACTAAAAAGAATAAGAAAACTAAATCAAAGTGATTAGGATAAAGCTAACAGGCTATGACTCAAACCATGTACAATCAGTAATATCAGCAACAGATATGGCAGTAAAAACATTCAGCAGCAAATTTACATATAATATAACAAGAATGGGGAATGTACTGGGTTTGTGCAAAACAGCAGAGACAATCTGTTTATGTTCTGTGGTGGGTCACAGTCCGGAGCCTGGGGCCAGGGACGTGGTGCTGTTTGTGCAGGAGAGATCCTCAGAGATGTGCACCCCCAGGAACTTGGTGCTGCTCACTCTCTCCACTACAGCGCCGTCAGCGGTCAGTGGTGGATGCTTTAGAGGTTTTCTCCTGAAGTCCACAACAATCTCTTTAGTCTTTTCCACATTGAGGAAGAGGTTATTGTCCTTATACCACTGGACCAGTTGGCACACCTCACTCCTGTAGTTGGCCTCATCATTTTTGGTAATGAGGCCAACTAAAGTCATGTCATCTGCAAACTTGACAACGTGGTTGGTGCTGTAAGTTGGCACACAGTCGTAGGTCAGCAGTGTGAAGAGCAATGGGCTGAGCACACACCCCTGTGGAGCCCCTGTGCTCAGCGTGATGGTCTTGGAGATGTTGCTGCCGACTCGCATATTTTGTGGCCTCCCTGTTAGGAAGTCCAGCACTCAGTTGCAGAGAGAGGTTTTGAGTCCCAGGCGTCCAAGTTTTTGTATAAGCTGCTGAGGAATTATTGTGTTGAATGCTGAACTGAAGTCTAGAAACAGCAGTCGCACGTAAGAGTTCTATGAACCTAGCTGGGTGAGGGCTGGATGGAGAACAGCAGCAATGGCCTCCTCTGTATGCAAAATGAAATGGGTCGTGAGAGGGAGGAATGATGGACCTGATGTTCTGCATGACCAGCCACTTGAAGCACTTAATAATAATTGAAGTCAGTGCCACAGGCTGATAGTCATTGTAACAGGTTGGGTGGGGCTTCTTTGGAATTGGAATTATTGTGGCAGCCTTGAAGCACATGGGAACCAACCGCTTGGCTCAGGGAGATGTTAAAGATGTCCGTGAGGACATCCTTGAGCTCCTCGGCACAGTCATTTAAAACACGACCAGGTATATTATCCGGTCCAGTTGCCTTGCCTGGGTTGATCCTGGAGAGGGTCTTCTTCATGCTGGCTATGGACAGACACAGCCTGCTCACCCGGGGGAGGGTTGGTCTTCTGTGCTGGTGTGTTGTTCTGTGTTTCAAAGCAGCCAAAGAAGTTATTGAGGCTGTTCAGCAGAGAGATGTCACTATCACAGCTCCGAGGTGGGAGCTTATAGCCTGTGAGAGTTTGGATGCCCCTCCAGAGACTCTGTGCATCTCTAGTGTTGCTGAAATGTCCAAATATTTTCTTGTTGTATTGACATTTTGCTTCCCTGATTCCACGGGACAGGTTGGCTCTTGCTGTTGCTAGGCCTGCAGTGTCGCCACCCCTAAAGGCTGCATCCCAAGCCCTCAAGAGTCTGTGAACGCCTCCTCTCAGGGGGTGGTGTAGCATGCATGTCCAGTAATGTAGGAATCCGGCGG